AGGAATTTTTCCAATTCAAATATGGCTGGAAATCGAGACCTATAGTTCAGATTAAAAATTAAAAATTAAAATTTACAAGAATTTTATTCATTCCACTACAACTCTTGATAGGGTAAAAATTTACTCGCATAGACCAAATTAATGACTATCATATACATACACGTCTCTCTCTATATATATATATTTCAACATTTTATTATAATTAAGTGATACATAATTTTAGTCTGATTCATTAATTTTTAAGATTAGTTATTTAGTTAGATATAAATACTTCATGCAAATAAGTTTTTTTTGCAAGTGTTCTACTCAAATCAGCCCCAAAAGAAAAAAAAAGAAAAGAATATCCCTTACATTAGGGTATATGCATGTCTTTTGTCAAAAAGTAGCCGAAGAAGATGATGCACAAAAGACTAATAGGGGCTTTGAAATATTTATCTTCCACAACTAAAATTCAAATTTTTATAGTGTGAATGATTTCCAGTATCTTTTAGTTTGTCATGCAGTTTTGTCAATATCCCCCAAAACATTCAAAAATGTTTAACAAGTATGCTTATATTTTCAAAAATATTAGGAGACAATAAAAAATGAAAATATTAGATTGGAATGTATCTTTCAAATCCACCTTTTCCTCTAAGCATACCAACTTGTTTGGATGATTCCTACATATTGTTTCATAATATATATGGTATTATATTGTATTATTTTATCGTTACATAATATCACACATCAACAATTAAAAGGATAAACTTATTAGAAAAGTAGAGTACAATGTAGAGTTAAAAGGAAAAAAAAAGAGGACTAAAAATAACGACATGATCATACCAAATTGATCCTTACATAAAGTGAGACTTTTCATCGTTACTAATGATAAATTTGACAATACGATATAGTAAAAAATTGAATTACAATCACCCAGACATTGTATTTAAACTAACAGACATAATACAATACAATAGTAACAACCACCCAAACAAGGTATTAGTCAAACAAACGTATATAATCGAAGGAATTATTAAATCTTAGCTTAAGAGTTGTTAGGATTTTGCAATGAGACCTATTGATTCTTTCCCTTTTTATGTAGATAAGAATTAGTATAATTAGTTTATTTTTATCATAAACTTTCTTTTAATAACTTACCACATGATCCACTCCATAATTTTATTATTGCATTACCAATACCCTTCTTGGATTATCTACTTATCTAGAAACAACACCCAACTTGAGAATATTTTAACTTTGCATTTTTATTTTTCTCTTAATAATGACAAGTTTTAATAGCCATAAAATTGATATGGCATACTTAAAAACTGTAAATTTCAAAATCCTTTCTTTTTTCCTTTTTGAAAATGGGAAATCATATTACTAGCTCCAAAGAATAATTTTTACAAGTTTCACTGATTAGAGTGATTTGTCTTTTGTTCCTAATAAGCTTAATTAATAATGTAACACTATAAATGACTTGTGTCTAATCAAACACGTATAGTGTTTGATTTTCTAATTAAATTATAATCCTCTCTCCAATCCCCTACTTTTTACATCTTTTGGTGGGGTTGAAATATTGAATGATTTTCTTTAATTATTAACTTGGTGTACAATATTCTTAATGAGATTCGATTAAATTTAAATTCAAGTATGATAGAATCAATTTTTTTGAGTGACATTTCCAATCAGATACTCAAACCCAAAATATTGGAGGGCAAAACCATCCTACCACAAACCTAGCAATTGAAAGAGAAAAAAATAATCAATATATCACATGTGAAACTATAAGATAAATGCCTCAAAAAATTGAGGCAAGTTAATGAGAGTTGTTTGCCAATAAGGGAACTCATGGGACAAAAGTGCATAGCCACTCCATAACTCCATTGTTGAGGAGTCAACCTCAATGTTCTTTTTTAGTCCTTCTAACCTCCAACATTTGTCATCATTTTTCAAAGTGAAAAAAGGTAAAATCCAGTAAATAAATATTTTATTTTTTTATTTTTTTTAAAAAAAGGTACTCTAACATATATATTAATGGCACGGTTGCACGCAACAAAAGCTTTGACCTTTTGTACCTAAAGTGGAAATTTCACTCGTTTTTGCCTTCTACTATTTCTCAAACTTCATCATAATATAAGAAGTATAAGTGTTCTTTTTTCTTTTTTTCAAACTTCTCTACATAATAAAGAAATGCAATTATTGTTCATAATATATTTTCTTGGCTCAACATATAAATTATAATGGTTTTACTTGATGCCCACGTGTGAGGACTATATAAATGTACTTGAAATCAAAGGCCATTCCCTAAGTTTTCAAGAGTCAAGACCACCACATCCTAGAGACTTTTTGTCTTGTTGGGGACAAGTTTATTTGAGTAGAAGTATTTCTTAAGTAAGAAAATTCATGGTATAAGTATTTTTCGTTTTGTATTTATTAAAAATATATATTGGAATCAATTTTAAGAAATGTAAAAAGAAAGAGATCAAAAGATTTTAAAAACTTGTGGGGATGTTTAAGTAGGCATTTGGACATGAATTGAGTGATATTTAGAATTAACTAAAGTTGTGTTTGAATATACATGTCATTTGAATTTATTTATTTTTGGTGAAAACGTCATTTTAAAAAATAGACTATGCGATACGCGAATTTGAATGGGTTCGTAGATATATTCATTTTGATGATAAGATGTTTGAGTAAAAAGGTAATTAAGAAACTAATGATGCCATGTTGTAGTTTCCACTATTCACTTCTCTTGCTTCAAGTTACAAATAAATAGATTGCAATAATGTCATGCCTACTATAATTGGAGAGGAGAAACGTAACGAAAACAAGAACAAGAACAAAAATTACAAAGTGTGAATATATATGTTCAACTACAAGTCACCGTCCAAAATAATCTCCTTTACAACTACAAAGTGTTCTAATTTGCCTCTTATTTTCTTGACAAATTATGAAAATACTCATCAAATTTTCTTTAATTCTAATGTTCACACACGCAATACTAGACATGCCTTATTGAATTTATCGATGAATACTAATACAAACAACTAGTTGAATCAATCGATTAATTAATATTATAGCTAATCCAGCCAATTTGTTGTTGAATTAATCGGGCCTAACATATGTATTTATATAAGGCAATATATTTGACAAATTTCTCAAAGTTAGATACAACGATATTTAATTTATTTTTCTTGATAAAGATGTGCAGTTTTCCTTTTTGTAATCATGTGTAAGATATAGATATACAAAGTTTACTCATATTTCTCAGTCATATAACAAATTTCTTTGTTCCTTCTTTTTTTATAGTAATATTTCTTGGAGATGACTTTTACCATTTTGAAGGAAGCTAAGAACTGCAAAATAATTGCATATCTTATATATCATATAATATACACTCACGTGTAAAGAGAAAGAAAAAGCCAACAAGGCATTAAGCTATACATTTAACTCTGTAAATTAATGTTCAATCGTTATTTAATGTTCAATGGCTATTGCAGTATTTTAATAAAAACCTATTTTATATCATGAGTTTTTCTAGTGAATTAGTTCGATAAAAATAGAGTGTGAAAATCATATTTTATAATGCAATTTTTTATTGATTCGCGATGAGAAAAATCTTTGTTTCTAGTATAGTGAGAAGAAGAAGAAAAGAAATACACACATACAATACAAGAATACTCTTATAATAAGATGGTTGGCCAATCGATAAAATTAAGGGATAATGGTCTGAAAAATACCTCAACTTTAATCGGATTTGTTGTTGCGTTACTAAACTTTCATGAGGACCTATTACCTCCCTAGATTATTTAATACCGTATTTTAAACATATATATTTGCCCACGTGGACATAAAAAATAATGCAAAATTATAAATAGTAATGTGTCCACGTGGGCACATATATACCTTTAAAATACACTATTAAATAGTTCAGGGGGTAAAAAATACGGTATTAAATAGTCTAGGGAGGTAACAGGTACTTATGAAAGTTTAGTATCGCAACAACAAATTCGACCAAAGTTGAAGTATTTTTCAGACTCTTATCTCTAAAATTAACATTAACAATATATACATATTTATTTTTATTTTGTTATTAAAGATCATCACTTCCACCAAATATAACCACCCAAACAAAATATATATTATAAGAAATGACACATAGGAAGGCACTTCCTTAGCCCATGGAGTTGTACCACAATAATATTCTTTAATGTCATTGGTGACATCAAATATGCTTCCATTAATGGGAACTACAATGAAGCCAATAAATCCACAGGCAGTATCTGTTAGGCTAACCTGACCTAAATATGTACTGTAATTAATAAATATTATGTTACGTTATTCGTTTTGAACTAAACTCGTATAGTCTTTCTCAAAATTGTTTATATCGTTAGGAAGAATTAAAAGAGAGAAAAAAAAGTATCCCTTGGAAACAACAAATTAAAGAGTATACCCCATAAACATCAAATTTTCCACCTCTCACAAAAAAGTAAAGTAAACATGATTTGAAAAGAGAGGAAAAATAAAGGAGTGTAAAACTAATAAGGCCAGACAATAATAATTAGAAGTAAGAAAGAAAACTTTCACATAATTACGTGCGTGTGCTATGCAAAAAGCTTCACAAAAAACATCATTAACTAATACTCTCCGTTTCAAATTATTCATCGTATTTGTCCTTAAAAATACTAATTAATTGAGGGTTTTGACTATCTAACTCGTTTTATTATCTTAAAATATAGTAATTTGCTTAGTATCGAACTTTAAAAGTTACGATAGATTAATTTGAGACGGAGGAAGTAGTCAATGACACCACCAAACTTTTTTTATTTTTGGTCTCATCGACTCATCCTGACAATATAGTCTACACAATAGGGATCTGTTGTTATTAGTTGTAGACAAAAGATTTGTGCACCATCAATATCCAATATTATTATTATTATTTATTTTATTTTTAAAAAAAGACAATATTATTATTAATTAGGGGTAGGTGTATATATATATGGACTTCCACAAGTTTGATGGAGCATATTATATATATGTGGTTTTCCAATATTAGTATTCAAAATTCCAAAGTTTTGGTGTAATGAAGGCAACTCTCAAATATTTGGCTGGCATTGCTGGCCCAAGTGGTTATGGTTCTAAAACAACTGCTGAACAGGCAACTAGAGATTTCTCTAATTCCTCTAATTCTCAACTCACTGCAATTATCACTGGTAATTACTCTCTCTTTTCATCTCAATTATTTGTCATGTTCTTGAGTTTTCGAGACGGTTGTAAGACTAAACAAATTACTTATGTGTCAGTTCGAAGCGAGTCTTGATAGGGCAATTGTCAGTATTTTTGATTCTGTGCATGTTTGGAAGAATTCTTTAGAAAAAGACATTATTTTTTTTAATTTTCTCCTTCTTCTTGAAACTTTTGTTTCTTTTTCTTTTAGTTGATGTTGTTGTTAGAGAAAATGAGAAATTAAATGGATTTTATTTTTTTTCAAGATTTTGGGTGGTTAATTCTTGAATAATCAAATATTGTGAGATGTGACTATAAGCAATTAAATATTCATCATGGTTTTGGTCGACATGCATTAACTCATCTTCTTCTTTTTTGTGTGGAGAGTTTTGGAAGGAATATTCTTGGATTTGATTGTTTTTCAGTATGAGACTTTTAACATAGCTTGAATTATAGATGCCTTATAAAAAATGTTTTTTTTTAAACAAAAAATGTCTTATAAATTCTCAAATTGTAAAGAGACATGAAGAGGAAGTATAGTACTTTGTTAGACACTTCTTTTCTTCCAAAAATTAAGAAGCATCTTTTCTTTGAAAAAAACATTGTGTACCTTTCGTGGCCCATGTTTCAGAGTTTATTCCTAAGTTTTTTTTTTCAGATGTAGGGTATTCAAAATCCATCATACACTATCTAATTTATACCTCACTTTTTTCAATATCACACATTTTAAGAAAATCTCTCAATTGATTTTGCAAAAAAAAAAAAAAGAGAGGGTTAAGGGATAAATAATTTATTAAATATTCAATTTGTTCTTCTTTTTAGTGTCTCTTTTTGTTTGAAGAAAGAAAAGATATAGTTTTGTCTCTAGTTAGCTACTTAATTAATTGTTGGTCAGATGTATAAGATTTCTCATCTGGACAAAACTGAATTCTAATCATATGCCATGATCTTTAATTAATTAAATAATTAACAAAGAAAAGTTCCAACATTAAAATACTTAAAACAACAACCCCCACTACATAAATTAGTATTTTAATCACCATGCATTAATTAGTGCAGAATCCAATATAGAAACCTAATTTAGTAGTATGTCATAAAAAGATTAGACAAATCATCATGACATTAATTAATTTTATTTTTTATTAATTAATTTTTTGTAAAAATTACAGGCGCAACATCAGGGATTGGGGCAGAAACAGCAAGAGTACTAGCAAAAAGGGGTGTAAGAATAGTGTTACCTGCAAGAGACTTAAAAAAAGCAGAAATTGTAAAGGAATTTATACAAAAAGAAACTCCAATGGCTCAAATTATATTATTGGAAATTGATTTGAGTTCTTTTGCTTCAATTCAGAGATTTTGTGCTGAGTTTTTGTCTTTACAACTCCCTCTTCACATCCTCATGTATGTATTTTATTTATTTATTTTTATTTATTTTTCAAAAATAATAATTAATTGATGATTGGTTTGAATTTTTGTTATGTAGAAATAATGCAGGGAAATTTTCACAGAAATTGGAGTTTTCTGAAGACAAAATTGAGATGACTTTTGCTACAAACTACTTAGGTAACTATCTCTAGCCATACTTTGGGACTATGTATATAATTCTTTTTGAGAAACTGTTTATCATTAGGTCGTCGAAAGAATAACTATACTATAGTGAAATTAAATGAAAAAATGAGTTTTCGGATTTATTGGAAATAACACCTTTACCTTTCAAGGTAGGAGTAGGTTTGGGTACACACCCTACTCAAATTTTACTTGTGAGACTATACTGAGCATGTTGTTGTAAAAGCTTTCAGAAAATAACGAAGGTAACATGCATTTTTGATGCATAGTATAGATATCTATGAAAATAATTAGAGTACTAAAATGTCAAAAAAAAAATAATCAAATTCTGAACCTATAGTTTTGAAAGTGCAATAAATTTAGAAACAAATCCACTATTCGTTTAACGTTAAGCAATTATAAGTAGAGTAACTCTCTATATAACAATAAAAACAAGACGTGTAGATGGATTGACTCATCAAGTTTGAGAAATTCAATGACTGTTATATTGTTTGGCAGGTCATTTTCTATTGACAGAGTTGTTATTAGAGAAAATGGTGGAGACAGCAGAAGGCAGTGGGATTCAAGGAAGAATAGTGAATGTTACTTCAGTAGTTCATAATTGGGTGAAAAGAGATCAATTCCGTTTCTCCCAATTGCTCAATCCTAAAAAATAGTAAGTATAGTATAATATAATATAATTTAATCCTCCTAGCATTTAATTAGCAAATATTTCATTACTTAGCTTGTTATACAAGATTTTTGAGACCGTGCTCGTAAGATTACACTGAGTAATTTATTGTTGTTATACAAGATTGATCATTACTTACTCTAACTTAGTATATAATGTGTTCCACACAGTTATAATGGTACTCGTGCATATGCTCAATCAAAATTAGCCAACATTTTACATGCCAAGGAATTGTCAAGACAACTAAAGGTAATTAATTAATTCCCTTATTACACCTTTATTTTACTTGCCGTTCATTCGTATGCGATTCGATTTTCTTATTTCCATCAGAATAGATAAGACTGTAAATCAATATATTTTTTTATAACCTATAATAGCTAGGTTTTCTATGCATCTACCATGAATATATGTGGAGGACGATATAATAAACGAAGCAAAATACACAAGATTTTTTTATTTTTATTTAGACACCTGAACCAAGATATGTACTTATGGAACATTTTGATCTTGTGCGTTTGACTTGAAATAGGTACAACCCTTAGTCTAGGCGTCTAGGAAAAATTTCGACTAATTAAATCTAGAGGGCAGCTTATGTATTCTACCAATATAAGATTACTATCTCCAATTAGTTAAGCAATCAAAACATAATCAGTGTAAAAAGTGGTTAGCCCTCTAGTTAAGCAATCAAAGCATAGTCAATTCACCAATAATTTTTTGTTGTTGTGGTAATTAAGCAAATCTAATCATGTAAATGGATTTTAATTTGTACTAAGCTGTTTTTCTTACCACTCAATTATATCATTGATTAGACAACTCATTGATAAAATTCTATGACAAAACTCAAAGACATGTAAGAAACTAGGGAATTGGATTTAGAATCATGCCAGCTTTTATTTGCACGATTAGTGCTGTACACAAAATGATACTTCTTTTTCCTTCATTGGCCACTATATATATATTTTCCAAAAAAAATAAAAATGTTTTTTGTCTTTATATATTTGTATAGTTGCAAATTGCAATACTGAAATTATAATTATTTGGGGTGGAACAGGCAAGAAATGCAAATGTAACTATCAATGCAGTCCATCCTGGAATTGTAAAAACTGGAATTATCAGAGATCACAAAGGCTTTATCACTGGTATAATGTCTTTTCCCCTTTTTCTATTTTCATTTAGTGCGTTTGGTACGACAAAAAAATATTTTTCAATTTTCCCATGTTCGAAAAAATACTAATGGTTTTTCCACCCTCCTACCCCCCCTCCCCCAGCTCCACACACCCCACTCGCCAAAAGTTTGTTAACTTGTCACGTTAAGAAATTCTTTACTTATCGAACATCAGAAAACTTAGTAGAAATATTTTTCATTCATACCAAACACTGATAGCTATATTTACTGACTTCCATTTTACAAATCATAAACAGATTCTCTCTATTTTATGGCATCAAAGCTTCTAAAGTCAACATCACAGGTTTGTCCATATATACTCGTCTCTTTTTTACTCTATTGAATATATCCTTTACCATTACATTCCCCATTATTTCCAAAAAAAATAAAATGAGAAGATAAATCATCCTACTACCTTCCATAGGTACCAACAAAAAAAATAATAAAAAATATTATTTTTTTAGTAAAAAAACAATAATGAGGTCAATTTTTGTTTTATTTTTGGGTATGGCAGGGTGCAGCAAGCACATGTTATGTCGCATTGAGCCCACAAACAGAAGGGATGAGTGGGAAATACTTTGCAGACTGTAATGAAAGTCACTCTTCAGTTTTAGCAAATGATGAAATTGAAGCTCATAAACTTTGGAAGGGTACTCGTGTTCTTATCTATAGAAGATTTCTTCCACATGTAAATTGATCCAAAAAAAAAAAAAAGATTAGTTTTTGTACATGTTAATAAATAGATATACTTTGTTGTATATCCATATAATATATGATGATAGATGAAAATAATATGATACAAGTATAGTAGTCTGTCCAATAGTTAGCTAACTGATGGAGTACAAATGTTAGTGGAAATAATGAAGAATCTTCTTTTAGTGGTCCATTATATATTGCTCTATATGGGTTACGACACGCTTTTGCCTTTTTTTAGTTGGCACTTTTCGCATAATATCCAACATACTGTACCACAAATCAAATCTCCCCCTTAACAAAAATCGTTTGGATATTTCAAGATTAAATTTGGATGGTACAAATTTATCATGCGCTTGTTATCTTATCTCATTGTAGAGTGTATTAACAAAATTAATGTATGCATGAACTTTGTATATTAGTAGATCCTTGTGTGGTACACTTTTTCATACTATACATAACTAATGCTTGTATTAATTATACACTCCAGTGGCAGAGCCACATGTAATTAAAGGGGTGTCGGCCGACACCCCTTCTTCGGAAAATTACATTGTGTAGCTAGAATAGAAATATTTTTGTTATGTATATATATTACACATTGACACTCCTTGACTTCTACACAATTTTATTTCTTTATATTTTGGTACCCCTTAGGCGAAATTCTGGCTCCGCCATTGATACACTCTATTGTGTATTGAGAAGTGTATTACTAATACCATAATTTCTAGATATTAGTTATGCAAAGGGATTTAATACATGCATTAGCATGGTTAAAAACACAATTACCCCTCAAAAACACTTTTACATATTTTCCACTCATAATTGTGAAGGATACTTTTGTAAGTACACATTGTTATACAATACCTACCATTTTTAATGCACTAAACCAAACAATGCATAACTAATATAAGCATTACTAATATACTCTATTGAGTTTTTTTATACACTCTACCAAACGAACCCTAAATAAACTAGCCCAAAGATTATAACCTCACGGCTACAATTATGTAATAATTTAGTCCGTGAACCAAACGACAACGTATACAACTTACCTTAAAAGGGATCAAATTCATCACTTTCTTTCACATGTGCAATTAGACAGATCTGTATTTAATTGGATACAGAGTTTAAAGACAAGAATTCTTGAAGCATATGGTCTGAAACAAGTCGGACATATATAACCTATAAACCACGAGGAAGATTAATTTCAGAGACCTTCCTTCACATTTCACTTCCTCACATATGTATACCAAAAATTCATCAGAGATTGCCTTGTCATCAACATTGCAATATACAGTAATCCCAAATTGATACTAAAAAGATAATATACACATCCCACCAAAAAGCAAAAACCAGAATAAAAGTGTTGGCAGAACACCTGTAAAAACTGTTCCACAGAGCAGAAGCTCAGATGAATCGAGTATATCATATTCCAAAGCAGCACCAAAACAAGCCTGGTGAAATAAGAGATCAAAGGAAACGTGCAAAAAGAATGCAGAATCTAAGCAATCTCTATTCTACATTACAAACATTTGATGATACATTACAATGTACAAAAAGAAAAAGGATCTGTCTTTGTGGAGAAAAAAATAAGTGGAAACATATATAGCTACAAAGATAAATAATGATCAACTCGAAAGTCATAAGATGGATCATAGAGAAAAGTCAACAGAGCTTGGACATAAGAAATGAAGTCAGCCACCAGAACCGTTTTGCAAAGACAGCAAGGCTTTGAACATTTGATCAGGTAGCCATTTGACTTGAGCGGTTACTGATCCTAACCTTCACGTAGAAGCAAATCAGGTTTTTGCTTATCACGACTTGAGAACTTGATGGCTAAGCAACTTCAAACGAAACTGCTCAACCATTATCATCTTTTGACCTGCCAAAAAGTAAATTTTGCACATTAGAAACCCATGCAGTTTGAGGTGCTTGCTCAAAATTAATCCTAATTCAATTTACGCAATGATTGTTGAAACGAAGATATTGCACACCAGGTATTTCCTGCCAAAAGAACACATTCACATGAAAGTATAATGATGGAATTGTTCATGAACAGTCCTGTTCAGAAAATTCAGTCATCCAAAGTTGTAAATTAGAGAATCTTTCCATATAAATGCCCTCTGCCAGTGATGTTAGGTCCATTCTGAGGGGCACACTGATATCATCTCAGGCATATGCATGTATGTTGGTCTATAGATGTGTCTATCCAGACACGACAGTGAGAAAAGGTTATCAAGTACAAATGCTTGTGAACCTTTTAAACAGCCCAGTACATAGACCAACAGGATATAATCAGTCTCAATTATTTGTTCATGTTAACCGTGATTTTTTCTTGTTTGGCTTGGTATCATCAAACAATACTTAGCATGTCAATGAGGGATTAAACATTTCTACATAGTAACATAGGAATTAAGGAAAGAATGCATCTGACAATATGCTTGAGCCTGAAATATGAAGGCAATGACATTTCCCCAGAATTGCTTATCAAATTTTCTATACGTCCCCCCCTATGACAGTTAATGATAAAGTTCCTATTCCTAACTTTTATTTATGCAATGTCCCACCCAAACGTCACTTTCATCAGGAGTGTTAACTTTGACTCATAAAAATGGTAACAATGTCCCACCCAAACGTCAATAGTTTGGATGAGTAGTATTTACGAGTTCAAGTGGTATAGCTCCAATCAACCCATCCAAGAGATTGGATCGACTTGCATAACATTACTAGCAAATTTTACCCAAATTAACCTGTAAGAGAAATTTGTTGCACATAAAAAGAGAGAAAAAAAGCAGAAAACTAGTCTTTACCGTAGGGCAATATCACTTTCTTGTACAATAATTCTTTTGTTATGAACTCAATTGGATAGCAACAGATTAGAAGAAAACAAAAACAAACAGAGAAGAGGTTTTGAGTTGAGTAGGTTGGCCTATGACCCATTGATCCACCTATCTTGACCCAAGAGTATTTGCGACTGGTTGGGTCAATCACATGTTCTTTGACTCAACACATTGTAACCCATCAGAACTTGACCAAACATTTCCTCCTCCATTTGACACCCCTAATTGATCATATATGCTAACTGGCTTCCTTCCAGCACATGTGCATTAATTTTTTTCACCCCTATAGCAAAAGAATAGGAACTAAAGCAGAAATTTCATCTCCGATCGGGGTACTGGGAAGTCAGGATTGCAGAGGGGGATGAATCAAAGACGACTTCAAGCATAGGTAAATTTTGAAACTGGACTGAACCTTGCTGGATGACAGCAAAGTGGAAAATGATGTTGCTCAAGTGTCTAAGAGGGTGTGACCATTCAATTTGAGTGTTTCTTTTCTGTCTTCCATTCCCTTTTTCTCATTCCTCTCCTGGTAACAAGTTCCATATAATTTTGAGTTAAATTAATCAAGCAAAATTTCTATCCGCAGCAAGTCTCAAAGATATTAAGAATATTAGAGAGAACACTCGGGGGAAACCATTCCTGGCATCAACGCAAACATTTCTAAGAAAATATAATGTATGTATAAAGAAAAAAGAAAGAAACACAGAAATCAGTTAGAGCTTGTTGTCCTTGTACAAGTTCTCAAAATTAATAAATCCTACCTTAAAACGAGGAGAACGCCGGAGAGATGACGCAGATCCAGGAGATAGGAGTGCTGCCCTACTCCCTTTGGCACGGTCAAGTTTCTTGGAATTTCTGTTATGTTCATCAGATTGATGCTCCTGTTGCTGGGATAAAAACTCACTTCTACTATCAGTTGACATGGAAGAAACTGGAGCAGACACAGAGATCATGAAAGTGTCTTGATCGCAAGATGCTATGTCAGGAAATGTTCCTGGATGGATAGGAAACATAAACATATTCGGAACCATCATACAGCAATTGATGACATCCCCTATATATTTATTAATCAACTTAACTTTCAAGAGTATATTTATGCACTTGTTCATGATCACGGTTTAAATATAAATAGGTCGATCTTGTAGTAAAATCCAGGTTATAACAATAAATTTAGCTTCCAAATTGTGAAACGTTTAATTATTTGAATGCATTAACAAAATCATTTTCTAATTTCTACTAATGATTCGAACAAAAATCCATTTTTGGGGTGCAACAAGAGTTTGTATTCTGAAATGTTATCAGAGGGATTTGCATTTGTTGTGGAAATTCCTTGCAAGAAGATGCAGTACTCAAGGGGATTGCTAGCAGCCAATGTTCTATGATTTCCTGCACAATTAGCTGTATATGGGTCTGGTGTAACTAAATAAGGCTCAGAGGATAACATAACATAGAAATGAAATACAGGGCATACCATGTGTTACGGCTGCTTGAAACTTTTCTCTCATAGTCCTGACAAACTTGAACAGTCCATTGCTTGTATTTAACTCTCTGAGCAGCTCTTTTGCATCATTTAGTTGTGGATCACATTCAATCACTAAAAATCCAAGCCACACAAGAATTAAAGTACAGAACCATTTTCACTGATGTATAGTTGATAAATGTTCCACACTTACAAGTATACACATCATTCTCATGACGTACGGTAAAAAAGTACTCCTTATCCTGATTATTGGCATCAATATTGGTAAATATGAATTTCACTCCTGTGGAAGACAAAGGAAATGAATGTTCAGTGGACAAATCTAACAATAGAAGAAAGTTGTATTTCTTTTACTGGAAAAAATCCATTATTAATAATTAGAGCCTGTGGCGGGGTTATATTGTTCAGAAAGTGGAGTCTGCTTCTCTAGAATCTTAAATGTGTACAGAAGTTGAAGGATATGCATACCATGGCCACATTCAATACGTAATCCAAGCACCTTATTGTACCACGCAATAGCCTCTTCTATTTCCTCTCTCTGTTCAGCAGTCTGATTATGCTTTTCTTCACATGCTTTGAGTTCTTTTACCCAAACAAACAAAAGAAGAAGACGAAGAAATGCACAGATCAATTACCGAACAGGATATGGTGTCTCTTGGTAGAAACAGCAGAAACAGTCACAAAGTTATCGACATAAAAGAAGCACCAACATTATTCACAAAAAATAACAACTTTCACAATGAAGTACGGGGGAGAGTTTGAAAAGGGGGGCACAAATTAAAAATTAAATAAAAATTAAACATTATCACATGCAACATCCAACAGTAGTTTTCAAAGGAAGAAGAGACAAAGAATCACTATTCC